TTCCACAGTAAAAGCACTTGCCATGCAAGCTGACAACCTAAATTTCATCCTCAGAAGCCCACGTAAGAATGCCTGATGCTGTACAGCTATAGGCGAAGCACTCCACCTGACAGGAGAAGGGCCTAGAAGCTCACAGGCCACCAGCCTGGATTAAGTAGCACCACAGAAACAAGAAACCCTGCCTCAACAAGGCAGGGGAAAGGGGGCTCACAAAGCTGTTCTTTGACTCCCATGTGCACACGCTTGCATACACACACACCAGATAGCAAAAGGCTAATAGTAACAATAATAGCCAGGCATCGTGATCCACACCTTTAATCCCAACACTAGCAGGCTGAGGCAAGGAGTTCAAGGCCAGCCAGCCAGATTACCATAGCAAGACTGTGTTAAAAAAAAAAAAAATGACATGATATCATGATATATTTACATGTCTGTATATTTGTGTGTGCAAGGATTGTGGATGTCAGAGGTCAACAGCAGGTGTCCTCAATCTGACCTCTAGCTCACAGAGATCCAGTCTTACCTCCAGAGTGCTGGGATTAAAAGTATGCACCATCATATCCAGCAAACTCCAATTTGAGATAGTCTCTTGCTGGACCTGGAGTTCACCGGTTCATCTAGGCTGGGTTCATCTAGGCTGGCTGACTATTTGTCTGTCCTAAAGATCCTCCTGTCCTGCTCCCACAGTTATGGATGTGTGCAATTATGCTTTCTGTGGATGCAGGGGGCCCAAAATCAAGTTCTCATGCTTTCACAGCAGGCACTTTATGAGCAGAGCCATCTCCCCAACCCCCACTCCGTTTTTTTGTTTGTTTCAAAACAGGTTGGCCTTGAACTCTATATATAGCTAAGGATGATCTTAAACTCCTGACTCTTCTGCCTCCACTCCCAGTGTGGGTGTTACAAGAGTATACTACCATCATGCCCTGTTCATGCTGTGCTGGGGATTGAACTCCAACCTAGGACAGGCTAGGCAAGGCCTCAACTGATGGAGAGCATGCCCACTCTGCCCCTTTGGAGGGACACTCCACTCTTTTTGTTCATTCAGACAATATTTCAGTGTAAGCACTGTTCTAGGAACCCAAGATTACTTACTAAACCAGCAAGACCCCCATTCTCAGAGTTTGCAGTTGTGCAGCAGATGCTCTGGAAAGAAAGCAGGGTGGGAAGGGGACTGAAAACCACTGGCTGTTGGGAAGAGGATGTGGGCAGGCCTTTCTGAGAATGTGAGACTTGAATAGACTTATGGAAATGAGGGAAGTGGCAAATGGAAGTCTGCAGCAAATGTCAGGTGGAGGGCACAGCGGAGCAGAGGCCTGAAGAAAGGAAGATGAGTCGGGAACAGCCTGGAGGCCAATGGCAGGGAAGGTTGGCCTGGAAAGACCCCTGGGAACACTAGCAAGCCTTCACTCTGACTGCCGTGCGGACACTCCAGGGTCATAAGCAGGAAGAAGGCAAGGCTGCACTCCCATGCTGCTGAGCTGAGACTTGCTTATTTGATCCACTATATTAGTTAGCTTTATTTAAAATACATTATTATTATTATTATTAGCATTATTATTATTATCATTATTGATTGGGGTTTTTTGTTTGTTTGTTTGTTTGTTTGTTTTTTAGGATAGGGTCTCCTGGCTGTATGGTCCTGAATTTATTATATAGCATCAGGTTTAAAGGTTAGTTTTAAAGAAAAAAAAAAAAGCTATCAAAGATGAAAGGGGAGAATCTGGATTCCCACATCCAATGAATGAAATGTAAAAGAAAGAGACACCCTGATGGCAGGAATGGTGAGGAAGTAGGTGGTAAAAAGGGTGAGGATGTGTGGCGGGTTTCAACTGGGGGTTGAAAGGGGTCATGTATTTAGTTTTAGAATGAATACCCAACCAAGTCAGAGGCTGAGTCACAGAAGACACTGCTCAGAATATGTGGACAAATGTAAAAAGGAAGAGAGACGGGTCAAGTGGTTTTATTTACATTTTGTTGGAAAGACAAATGAAGTGCCTAGTGGGTTGAGCTAGCATCGGAAGAATACACGTATCCAGCCCTTGGTAGACAAGAAGAGTTCTTCACATTGAACCACAATTTGGACCACAAGAGAAAGTGACAGATAGAGCATCCAGCACATTCGACTTTCCTACCCCAGAACCAAAGAAGCCATTCAGAACTGTAAGCTACACTTTGATGACACCATTTGAACCCAGAGAAAGCAAGTCCCTCTGGGCAATAACCTAACACTATCTTCAGCCTGCCAAAACCTTCAATGCCCCTTACCCAAAACCAAGCTGAAATCCTTGTTATCTAGGATGAAAACCCCAGTGTCCTGGCAGGAAAAAAAGGCCTTTTCCTGCTGGGCACGGTGACGTATACCTTTAATCCAGCACTCGGGAGGCAGAGGCAGGCGGATCTCTGTGAGTTCAAGGCCAGCCTGGTCTACAAAGACAATCCAGAACAGTCAAGGCTACACAGAGAAACCCTGTCTCAACAAACAAACAAACAAACAAACAAAAAAGACTGATCACAGCACCTGACTTTACCTCCTGCCCTCCAACAACACTCATGCTACCCAAACAAGGTAAAACAGAGCGAAGCTCCCTTCCGTAGGTCAGGGGTTCGCTGCTTCTCTTTACACATATTTGGGAGGGGTTGGAGAGTCAGCTCGGCAGTTAAGAGTACTTCCTACTATTCCAGAGGAACTGAATTCAGCTACCAGTGCCCATGTTAGGAGGCTCACAGAGCCTGTAACCCAAAACCCTCTTCTGGCCTCTGGAGGGACCTGCGCACACACACAGACAGACAGACAGACAGACACACACACACACACACACACACACAATCTCTTTTTAAAATGTATGAGGACGCATGTATGCCAAGATAAGAGACTACTACTCCCAATCAGGAAGAAACTACAATGCTTAGCCTCTAAGGAAAAGTGACTGACTGTAAATCGGACCCTTGGGATTTGTGTCATTTGGATGCTCCCCACAGTTGTTAGGATGCTTATTAAATGTTGAATAATTAATAATAGTGCCCTCAAGAACAGATCCTGTGGAGGAAACCATGCGTAACTAGAAAAGGGCTCACTTCCTGCCCCCAACCAGCTCTTAGTGGGACAGAGCACTGACCTTCCCACGTATTTACAGTAAAATGGCTGCACTTCTGGATTAACTATCCAGCAGCAGATCATAAATAAATATTTTAAATAGCTATATGTGAGGCAAGGGGTAGCTTAGCGGAAGAGCACTTGCCATGGGTTCAATTCCCAGCAACACGCACAGAGACTCTATAGAAGCCAGCCTCCAAGCTGGTCACAATGGTCTCCATTTCCTAGGATTCTGCAGGATCCATAATACAGCAGAGGTATGTCACCTCGAGGATCCGTTTATACAGAGCTGGCTGGAGTCGTGGGCTGTCCTGGATCACTTTCTCTGGAAGAACCCAGTTACTCTGGACTGTGAAGAACCACGTGAGAGAGCCCTCCCAATCCAGCTGCAGATGAGGGCAGCCTCCTAATGGCTGACTCAGAGCGCCCAGGATCCTGACCCATAGACAGGATTTTCAGGTGCTAAATTCTGGGGTAATTTGTTACACAGAAGTAAGGAAAAAATTCAATTTCCTACGTACAACCAAGACAGCAATTAAAGGCTTAATCTTAGTTCTCATTCTACATCCATTAAAAATCAATTTCTCCTGTATCGAAAAAAAATCAATTTCTCAACTAATAAAAAAAACAAATTATCATTCAGGCATTCAACAATAACTTTCTGAATGTCAAACATAAGCCAAGGGTTTGCAACCTCCCTATGTTTTCATATAGTCTAAAATCTATAAAAAGCAATAACCACAGAAGTTCAGATGTACATGCAAGAACATATTTTGAGCTGTTCAATCCATCAATTTCATTAGCTTATGCTTTAATTAATTAATATCTCTCCCTGGTCATTCTGAGGGCTCGGGGCAGAAAGTCACACCCTCCCATGGCACTGTTATCCTCACATATACCCTCCCGTCTAAGGGAAAAAGAAAAGGTAAGTTCCTGATTACATTAATTCCACTCATGTCGAGGAAAGGGGAAAACTCAGGAAGAAACCCTGATCTCAAGTGCTAAGAACTACTGGAATGGCTACAACTCATGACTAAGTGTCAGCAGGAGCGAAGATACAGTCACTGCTCAAAATCCTGGTCACTGCTGAAACAGCGATGGCGACGAGGGAGATGCTGCCTCTTCCTCCTCCTTACTGGACTTTACTCTCAAAGCAGCAGGAGGGTAGTATAGCTCAATGACCAAGAGCCTTCCCCTGCACAAAGAAGGTCAAAGGGCAAGCTTTTTTTCCTTCAACCACAAAACCAGCTACTGCCAAATCTAATCAATGTGGTCCGCTACAGGAGGTGAATGAAGCCCTGGACAGAAAACCACAGCTAAACTCTCCTCCAGCCGCTGCTGAGGTCGGAGTCAGGTGACTCCTCGGGGCAAACAGCAAACCTAAACAAAGATCACTCCCCACATGACCGACTAGAGAGAAGAGCAATGCTGCACAGTCCCACCCCGGAAGGCCATTAGCCATTAACTCCTGCTTTTTTTTTTTTTTTTTTTTTTTTTTTTTTTTTTTTTGCAGTCCTGAGAAACTGGAGGCGCCAACAAGTTAGTCCCTTTTCAAGGAATGCACCTAGAGGGGTGAGGGACCTCCTTTCTGGACACGGAGGCCACTTACCGCAACACACGCCCCGGACCCCCACTTGCAGGCTGCAACCTGAACCCCTCCCCACCGGCTGTCACCCGCGCTCCGGGTCAGTCTCAGCCAAGGAAACACATGCCGTCTGGCCACTCGGGCTGAGACCCCGCGGGAACAGCGAGAGGACACGCTTTGGCCAAGGGCTGCAGGGGCCGGAGCACGCCTAGCCCCCGGGAAGGAGCCAGGATGAGCGCGGCCCGGTGTCAGGGGTGGCCCTGGATCCATCATCCTTCCCCGCTCCGCCCCAGGAGTCCCCAGCCCCGAGCGCCCCACCTTGTCACCGAAGCTGCGGGCCATCAGTAGGTCCGGGCTGGGCGTGCTGTCGCCTCCCACGGCCTCCTCGCTGCTGGAGCCAGCCAGCGGGTGCGGCATGTCGCGCAAGGAGTGGGGCCCCGTGGACGGCAGGGCCTTGGGGGGCCCGCCCGCCATGGCGCGCAGAGCTCGGGACCCGCCGCCGCCGCCGCTTCCTCCCGCAGCGCTCGGCCCTACCCGGCCCGAGGCCCTGCACCAGCCGGTGAGGGCCGCCGCCGCCCGAGGCTCCTCTGGCCGGTGGGGCTGAGCTTCCCCGAGCGACACGCCGGAGCTCCGCGCGCCAAGCCCCGGCGATCCCCCGCGGCTCGGGCCCTGCGCCCAGCCAGCAGCGCCACGCCGCCCACGGCTCCCAGCCCCGCCCCCGCGGAGCCTCGGCCCGCAGGGAGGGGAGGGCGGGGCGGGGCTTGAGGGAGGAGGCGGCCCGCCCCGCCCACCTCCCGGCAGGAAGTGCGCCCGCTGGCAGCCGTGCAGGGGTCTGAAGGCTAAGAGCCCAGGAGGCACGCCAGTAGATGAGGGTCTTCCAGCCTCACGGCGTGCGCAGAAGGAAACCAGAATAGAACCGAGAAGCGTATCTTCGTAACGTAAAGGGTTACGTGGCTCAGAGGAGCTACAGAACATCGAGTAGAGAAAGGAGAAGGACATTTAAAGAGGCAGTGTAGGCTGTCTTCAGAGCCACACTGACCTCCCCATACCGTCTGGCTTCTGCAGCTAAGCTCAGTTTAAGTAAGATGAAACCTCAGAAGCGTTGAGCGTCCGTAAATCGCGTGTACTACAAATGATTTACGGCCCTTAGCATACGCTATGCCAACCGGTCTTCTGCAAGAACCATGAGGCTCCAGTTACATTTTTGCATTGATGGTTCCTATCCTGGCTTAGGGCCTAGCTGGATTCGTGGCTTTTTTTAATGGCATGGGGGAGACAGTCAAGGCTTTACTTACAACTCTTTAAAGTATACATTCGTCCCTTTCTCCACTTACCTGACATTGGAGCTTCTGTTTCAAAGGCCAAGTTAGAGGGTCATCTGTGTGGCTCACTGTGAGGTAACACAGTTCCAGTCCCCAAACTTCTTAGGTTTGACCAGTTTGCCTGTTTAAAAATGCTGACAGGTCTTGCAACTGGCATTCATGAAGAGCTCTCACTGCCACACTTTCTCCAGAAACAAAAAGTGGAGAATGCAGAATTGAAACCAACCCAAAATAACTACCAGAGTCGCATTTAACTTCAGTGGCCCCCTTCTGGCATGGTCCAAAGAGTTGAACCCTTAGTACTGTAGCTATTGTCTTTTATCTCCTTCAGAGCCTTCTACCTTTATCAGGGAAAATAGTGAAAGGACACTCACAGCAATTTTAAATGCTGCATCTGTCTCCTGTGAGAGCTTGGGGTCTTATCCTCTGTGTTGGGCAAAGTTGTCACTTCATTTATATTTAGGAGCTGCCTAAAGCAGCTTACACACCCTATTATCTTCATTAAAACAGGCAATACAAATATAACTAAAAATGAATGATCTGTGGATACCTGGCATATTTTCTTCTTGAATATTGTTATTTATTTTAACAACCAGCATAATGGAGCTCTTAGGATTTCACAGAAGTGGGGCTGGAGAGATGGCTCAGTGGTTAAGAACACTGGCTGTTCGTATAGGGGACCTAGATCGGACAACACCCATAAAATAAAAGTAAGCAAATAAATATCAAAAGAAAATGCCATAAAAGAGCAAATTACATGACTCAGTAAGTAAAAGAACTTGCCACCCATGCCTGAGAACCTGAGTTTAGTCCCTAGAACCCACATGAAAAGCCAGATGTGGTGCCATTCTTTGATCCCAGCACTCCTATGGTGAGATGGAAGGCAGCATCGCCCAGAAGCCCTCTGGGCTGCTCCCAAATGCTGCAGCCTCAACAGAACACAAGAAGCGGCCTCAGTGAGGTGAAATGAAAGAGCAAACTCCCCAAAAGCTGTCCCTCTGACCTCACACATGTGCACACAATAAAGTAAAGCTGTTTCCTAGCCTACCAAAGAGAGAGAGGGACACAGAGAGTAACACATGAGACAGCTGTGGGAGTTAGATGGTCCTTGCTGAATGTTAAGAGCTCCCTAAATATTAATTCCCTTCCTTTTCCCTCAGGTTTTTTTTTTCTACTATGCTTATGAAACAACAACCACAGAATATCCATAATTATATGATGCATTCCAAACTCCATTTCCTTCGTTTGAGTAAGAGCTACGCTTCTGTATGCCTCCCCACAGAGGAAGGGGAGGAAGAGGAGAAGAAGAAAAGAGGGAGAGAGAGAAAGAAAAAGAGCCAGAGTTCCTAAAGGGCCATATGAGAGTTCCCTTATTTACTTTCCTGGTCAGTCAGAGGCATGTGGCCACAATGATTCAAGGGGTGGTAGTCTCAAAACTAGAGAAAGTGAACTATGGGAAACTTTTTTTTTTTTTTTTTTGTGGAAAGTTACAGCATTCATCCGCAGCTAAGGCTTGCCTGTTCCTGTCCACAGTTTCCTGTTTCATTTCAGTGCCTCTTGTGGTAAGGAATAGTTCCTGAAATAACCCAAGTCCCAGAGCAAATGACTCTGTCTAGAGCAACATGGTGCTGAAGAGTCAAGTTTATCAGCACAAAAGGCTGTGGTGTTGGTTGGAATGCATAGAGGGACACTTGGATATCTAGGGCTGAGTTCTGAGAAAGACACGGGAATTTGTGGGATGCCTCCAACGTCTCTACAATCCCCAACCAACCATCTTGGGAACTGCACTCCCTGGAAAAGCCCGTCTCTGTTGAAGACCACAGACTGAATGATTATGACTTTGCGGCGTTGGAATGTTGCAGATGGTCATTTATTGCTCGGTGTGGAGGCACGTGACTTTAATCCCAGAAGAGGCAGGCAGATCTCTGAGTTCAAGGCCAGCCTGGTCTAGGAAGAGTTCCAGGGCAGCCTCGGCTACACAGAGAAACCCTGTTTCTTTCTTTCCTTCTAATGTCATTTGCTACTAACCTCTATCTGACCTAACTTCCTTTTGACTAGCAAGTAAAATCTTTAGGATGTATTAACTCACCAAACCACTAGCTTCTATCAACCCAAAAGCTGAGAAACCATCATCAGAGAGCACCTGAGGCCCACAGCAGATATGTCCCCACTTGCCATAGCCTGCCTAGCTGGTGCCCCCACCAACGTATTTGGTAAATGTATATATTTATCACTTTTTTGTTGTTGTTGTGTGACTATAAAAACTCACTTGAGTCTGGCTGCGGTGGCACATGCCTATAATTCCAGCATTGGGGAGGGGAGCAGCTTTCTAGGAGGCCAGCTTGGTCTACAGACATGAACTTCAGGCCAGCCAGTGCTACATAGTAAAATTCTGTCTCAAAAGAAAATCATGTATGAACATCCACAGTAGAACATGTCATTAAGAGTACCCTCAACCCATGTTCCTTGGGTCATGGCCAAACATACTTGGCCCAGAATAAACTCTCTACCTTTGGAGCAAGACCCAGTTGCATGGGCCCTTCCCCATCCTCAAGGAAGGTGGGCACTTAGCCTGGGGCCTCTCAGGAGATAGGGCCCTGTCACCCTGGGCAGCTCTGTCTGGGCTGCCTGGGAGTGCGCAGTCCTCAGATACAAAGCAGTGCCAGCAAGGCACCGTCCCATTTTCTCCCTTGGTACAGCGTGTGCTCAGGCACTCTTGGTGTTTGTATTAGCTGCTTATCCCACTCTGGCTTGTCATACAATCATAGCTTTCTTCTATATGGCATCCCAAAGCCTGCCTCACAGTAACACCACTGCTTCTGAAGTGGATAGCTGGTGAGGACAAAGGAAGTGTTCAGAGAACATTCAGAGTGACATGTAACACACCACAGAGGCCCTCTCAAAAAACGGAGGGGTACCCAGCTGAGCAGGAATAACCCCAACAGAGAACATTTTGTATGGACAGTTTAATTCAGCCAGTGATGTCCCGGGGGGGGGGGGGGAGCAAATCCTCTTGAAGCCAGAATCTGAAGAGTTTTGCAAACAAGAAATTAGATTGTGTTTCAATGGCAGCAGATAAGTTTTGGTGTAAATGGGATCATTTTACCTCTCCATATCAAAGCACTCTGTGGTAGGGTGGGTAAAAGTGCTTGCTGTGCAAATTTAAAGGCCTGTGTTCAGATCCAATCGTCCCAAAGAAAGCCAGATGTAGGAGCTGGAGAGATGGCTCAGTGGTTAAGAGTACTTGCTGCTATTGCAAAGAACCCTGGTTTGATTCCCATATCCACATGGAAGGTCACAACAGCCTTTATCTCCAGTTCTAAGGGATCTGATTCTCTTCTAGTCTTTATCAGTACCAGACACTCACACACATACAAATAAAAATAAATAAATCTTGAGGGAAAAAATAAGTCAGGTACAACACCAGAGAGGGAAAAACAAGAGGATCCTGGAGGCTCACTGTCCAGCCATGCTAACTAAACCCCTGAGCTCCGGGTTAAAGGGGAGATCCTTCTCCAAGGATCATGGTGATAATGACGATGATGATGGTGATGATGACGATGATGATGATGATGATGTAGAAGTGCTTGTACAATAACACCCAACGTCCAGCTCCTGCTTCCACACATGCACACCTACACAGGAGCACAGGGTGGGGCGGGGCTAGAACCCCCCCTTCTCTTGTTTGCAGGTGTATGTATGTGTACCCGTGTGCCGAAAGAGGATAACAGGTGTCTTCCTCTATCACGCTCCACCCTGCTCTCTTGAGACTGGTGTCTCACTGAACCCAAAGCTCGCCATTTCAGCCAGGCTAGCTGGTCAGCATGCTCCTAGGATCCATCTGTCCTCCCCATACCCAGCTATGGGCTTGTAGGCACTCGTGGCCCCACTTTAATATGGGGGCTTGGGCTTTGAACCCAGGTCCTCACACTGGCACAGCAAGTGTTCTTACCCACTGAGCCATCCTCTCAGCCCCTTCCACTCCCCTTTTTTGAGGCAGGATCTATAAGTGTTCCAGGATGGACTCAAATTTGCTGTCTAACCAAGAACTTCTGATCCTCTTGCCTCAACCTCCCTGCTGCTGGGATTACAGGCATAGGCCACCATCCCCCCTGGCTTAAGTGGAGCTGGATATCAAGCAGGAGGCTTCCTGCACACTAGGCAAGCTCTCTACCAGCTGAGCTACATCTCCAGCCCCCTACCCCCTGAAACTATTCCAGCTTGTTTTCCTGGTGGTTTGTTTTGTTGGAACATTTCTCCAGTGTTTAAAATTTAGAAGAAGCCATGTGGTGGTGGCACAAGCCTTTAATCCCAGCACTCCAGAAGCAAAGGCAGGTGGATCTCTATTAGTTCAAGGCCAGCCTG